ATAAAAATAAAGTTTAAGGGGGCATATAATTAATAGTCAGGGATTATTTGTATAAACTTAAAAGCTCAAAGAGATTTATTATTAAATTTTAAAAATTAAAAAGATTATTTATATATGGCTTAGAGTTGAATTAAATTGTGTATAATTTAGCCAATCACTTACATATTTGATTGAGGGTATTTTTCAATCATTAATCTCCCTCTATGCATTGTAGCAAAATTGATGGAGACAAATGGTTTCACTATGAATGAGGTTAAGGATGATATTTAATAATTAAGGGATAAAAAGGGGATAAAAACGTAAAGGAGAAAAGAGATATTTGTAACTTTGATCCTATCCATCCTCTTTCAGCAATTATCAAGAATATCAAAAATTTAATTATGAAAATTGAGAGATCACCATTGATCACGTTTACAGAAAAGCCAACTGGTGCATGATTTTTTAACCACAAATTTCAAGAGACCATTTTAATATTATTTTTTTGACAGACTACTTGCAGACTATAACAACTTTTAAAATTTTGACATGATCTGATTTTTATATTTAATTTTTCTACACTAATTTACCGTGACTTTGTATTAAAAAAAAGAGAGAGATATTTGTGACAAGAAAGAGGAAAAGGAGGAGAAGGAGAAGAGGATAGAAAGTAAGAGGGTTTGCCGAAAGTAGATGGAGTGACTGAGTGACACCGGTGAGTGGGCGGCAAGTGAAGAACACGACAGTAGTTGGAGGACACCGGACACGACTTCCACGACAAAGGGTGTGCCACATCTACTACGCTGACGCTGACTTCAAGTCACTCCCTTTTTTTAATTTTTAATTATTAAATAAATATGTTTATAATTTATTACCAAAATTTATGTTTTTATATGTGTGTGTGTGTGTGTTTAATTTTACGAAGGGTGTGAGTGCAAGGAATTTGGATTTGGATTTCCAAATTTAATTCAAATTCTATTTTATTGTAATTTTTAAATTTTAAATCTCCTGTACATCTTAATTGTTTGAGATGTGTACACTAAAGGCTTGTTTAATTTCTAGTTTCATTTTTTTATTTTTAAAAATTATTTTGTAATACAATTTTTGAAACAAGACAAAAAGAAAATTTATTTGATTATATTAATTTAAAAATAATTTTAAAATTAAAAGATCGGTCGATGGTGATAATCATTAACAATTAATAATAATAATTTATGATAATTACCGATCTAGTTAACTATAAATTTCAATGACCAAATATAATGTATTCTGAAAATAAAAAATAAAATAAAAATAATTTTAAAATGTTTCTATTTAAAAAAAGAAAATAATTTGAAAATAATTTGATTTAAAACTTTCATCCAATCAATTTTTTAAAAATAAAAACTTATTTTTAAAAATAGAAATAAAACATGCATTAATCCTATTCTCTTCCGGTTTTCATCTTTCATCTCCCAATTTTTAGTTTTCATTTTTTTTAAATTTAAAATTTTTTATTCTATCTGAATAAAATATTTTAAATACATGAAATCTAAATTCAAATTTACCAATCCAAACTTTGTCAAAGTCATTTCAAATTTTTTTAACTATATTTACTTGTTGTATAGAATATTATGCTATGATGAAGTTCATTGATATTTTTTTATAAATTACACACTCAAATATTGAATGATTTGTTTATTGATATTCAATATAATAATAAAAATTGATTGGTTTGATAATATTCTAATTTTAAATGGCTAAAATAAATTTTTGGCCATCTAACTTTATATAAAGTTTATGTTTGATCCTTTAATTTTATAATAAAATATCTTTTCAGTTTTTAATTCTAATACTATTAGGTTTAAATAATTATTTTTCATATAAATCATTATTATTTAAAAAAATTAAAATTAATAAAAAATATTAACATTTGAAAATATTTTATCAATATTTAAAATTTTTATATAAATTTTTTTATTAATAAAGCTGTAGGAGTTATGATTAAATAACAGAAAAGATACTTTATAAAATTAAAATATTAAAATAAAATTTTATATAAAAGTTAAAGAATTAAAGGTGTACTCTAAATTGAGAATATTTATTTTATAATCTGTATTGTTTAACCCTTGTGAAATAAAAATCCTTTATACAAAAAATAAAAATAGAAAATACAAACTCTTTAGAGAAATAAAAAATAACGTATAATAACAAATAGAAATCAACAACAGCTTACAACAACAATAATTTGTTTAAACGGTCCGCTATTCCCCTTCTTGCTAATTTATTCAGAATTATTAATAATTTAAATTTAAATACGTTCTAACAAAATACAAGCAGCCAGGATAATTTATTGAAGAAATACTAAAAATCGTTTCGTCATCTTAAAAGCGTGTTTTTTTTAAAAAAATTTTGGCCGGCTTCTTTTGTCCTGTAAGGCCTCTTCAAAGCTCTTTATGTATATCCAGATTTTCTTTCAAATCATCTTCACCTAATCAGTGTTTTATGTGTTTGATTCAATCCGACGGGTAACAGTATGTTAGCACAAGATATAGACAAAACATTAAATCACAGCCCTACTTTTTTCCACGCCCAATATTTTAACCCAACAATGTATATATTTACAGGTAAATAGTTGAAATGAATTCTCATGAAACCATTCTTTAAATCATCATTTTATTTATTTTTGATCTAACATAAATTTTAAATATTGATAAAATTTTACAATTATAGTGTGAACACTCACAGGATGAGATGGATATGAGACAGTTAATTATAAAATCCAAATGAGATAAACAATCTTCAGAGCAAATAATTTGATGAGACACGGATACAGCAAAACATGGGATATTTTCAATTTAGCGCATGTTACTTGACTGCAGGCAATATAATGGATTCAAATCTGGCACGCCAGAATTATCTAACCTAACTAAACTATGAAGCCAAATACATTACGTTAAAAGAAAACAGAAAGAAAATTGCAGCAGAAAAAAAAAAAAGATATTATGAAGAGAAAACGTATGATATTATTGTTAAACTTAGTGTTCAGATACCCAACTGAGGCTGCAGCTCAACAAATATGATAAAAAATTTTATATTATTATTACATAGAACAATATTTTATTGCATTAATTATAAACATTTGATATACATAATTTGGTAAGAAAATTACATTTTCTAGGGGAGAAGACACCGACCTACTAATATGATATTCTCTTTTACAAAAAAAAAAAGATCTTCTTTGATTATGACAATAAGATAATAAATAATAATGTGAATTAGGTTCTTAACTTCTCATTCCAAAAATAATAAATGATTTGATTTGATATAATTTTTGTTTGATGAAAAGAAAAGGTTAGATTGCATTTTTCCCCCCTCAATCATTCATACAGAAGTGTCATATTTAGATTTTTTGTGGTATAAATTTTCTTTCAATGTTTAAAAACAAAACATTTCATTTTAAAAAATTAATTTTAATCATTAATTGACCTATTTTAAAATTTAAAAAAAGATCTCAAAAATTAAATAAAATGACTCAGAAAATTAATATCAATTAAATACTCTCTTAAATTACAAATAAATAATAGGAAAAATTAAAACAGGTTTCACACTAGAAACTTAATTACTACAAAGTTTATTAATAACTGAACTAAATGTCATTAATAACTGATTGTGTTGACAATTATATTTAATTTAATTATTAATAAATTTTATAGTAATTAATTTTTTTGTATGGGATTTCAATGTAATTTTTCTTAATAAATAATAAGAAACAAATTTTATTCCTTACTCATATCAAATATATTAGACACTTTTGAAAGAATAGTTAAGAGCAAAAATTCCCTCTAACCTAAAATAATAATAATAATAATAATAATAATAACAGGATAAAAATGTTGAATGAAGAAGTGCAATAATATTTAACATTTTAATTATAGAAATGAAGAGTATATATGATCCCTTGCGTTGTATGAAGTATAGTAGTATACAAAATAATTAAGTCATATTTTCTATAATTTATGGAGAATGCAATTTGTATAGGATGTTATAATTGGAGCACTATGAGACTTCATCCCAGACGCAATCCCAAAACTAATTTGCCCAATTTTCAGATACATGAGCCCACCCTCTATTCTATTTCTCTTGTGCCTCTCTCTCCAATCCACCAGCTCTTCACGCTCTTACCCTCATTAACTCTACCAATGTCTAGCTATAAATGTCACATTCGCACGTACATGCCTCATATAAAACCTACTTCAATTTCACTCGTAACACAATACAAAAACCTACTTCTATTTTCCTCAACCTACTCTTTCTCCAACACTCCCTTCACCTTAACTACCTTGTACTTGTTAACTCGTATCCACACTTGTAAACTTAACACGTCTTTGAACTACTCAATCCCACCCTTGTCCTTGCGTACCATAAACGACGACGGATTGCTTTCTTAATTCTATTGCGTTGATCAACAATCACGTTACTCCTAATTAGTCTATGCAATTTTCATGACACTGAGAAAAATTCTCTTGACATGTTTCTTGCCCCCAGAGTCAAACAACTTTTCGATTTCATGGTGCAGCAAATAAAGCCTGTTCTTCCCAATCCAGACCTGGTAGAGATATATTATTGCATTAGTGTGTGCGAATCTTATTACGATGATAACAGTAAAGAAAACAAAACTCTAAATAGTCAACAAGGACAAAGTGGTCAGAGAACCCATGTGAAGTGAATTCCCTGCATCCCAATTTGAACATCTTTGTCACGTTCATTTCCATTTCATCCAATACTAATAATCTCGTCCCTGTGGGTCTCACGTCGGCACAGACACAACACAAGGACAACTAATATCAGTACTAAAACTGCTAATAATATTATTATTATTACTTGTATATACGCTTCTCCATGACATATCTATTCTGTTATTTCATTGTCCTTAGGTGCCATTTTTATGTGGCTGCCAGACGCCCACGTGTCCTCCCCTCATTCGTCATCACCTAGATTTCCTCTCTGAGACTCGTCACTGTGATAGATAATAAAAAACCCGATCAGACCTCCCAGCCCCAACATAATTCAAAAGCTCCCAAAATACTTGCAGGTTCTTCCCAGCCTTGCAATTCGCATCCAATCAGCTAATAGTTACGAGCTTCGAGTTTGTTCTTTCATATGGGAATTGAGAGAGGAGGCCTCAAGGGCTTACGTGGAGGGTGGAGCGTGGCGGCTAAGCCATGCGACTCCTGCAAGTCGGAGGCCTCCGCCGTGTTCTGCCGCGCCGATTCCGCCTTCCTCTGCATGGCCTGTGACACCCGAATTCACTGCGGTGATAAGCTCGCTTGCCGCCACGAGCGTGTTTGGATGTGTGAAGTGTGCGAGCACGCACCTGCTTCGGTGACGTGCAAGGCCGACGCCGCCGCTCTCTGCGTCACCTGCGATTCTGACATCCACTCCGCCAACCCACTCGCTCGCCGCCACGAGCGGGTCCCGGTGGAGCCCTTTTATGACTCCGCTGAGTTGGTGGCCAAGTCCTCTGCTGCCGTTGCTGGTTTTAACTTCTTCGTCCCGAGCGATAACGGAATTTGCTCCGATGGTTTCCAAGCCGACGATCCCGAACCAGTGCCGTGGATGGTTCCCAACCAGAATTTCACCTCCAAGGTCGTGGGAGCTCCTGAGGTCAAGTCCGGCGACATGTTCTTCACAGAAATGGATCCGTTTATGGATTTCAATTACTCCAATTCTTATCAGAATAACAATAACCACAGCACGGCAAACGACAGCGTTGTCCCAGTTCAAACCAAGCCTGTTTCGGCTCCGATGATCAACCACTCGGAGGGTTGCTTCGATATTGATTTTTGCAGATCAAAGCTTTCTTCTTTTAGCTACCCAAGCCAAAGTGTGAGCATACTAACTTAACATCATTGACTTAGCTCCGAAGAAATTGTTCAATTTTTTTAAAATGATCTCGACATGATTAGTACTAATTATGGAAAGGCAATCGTGTAATGAAAAAAAAATTAATTATATGTGATATAATTTGCAGGTTTCATCGTCTTCAGTCGATGTTGGGGTTGTACCAGACTCCGTGTCAGAAATGTCGTTCTCGTTGGGCAGAAACATGAGCAGCAGCTCCGAATCGGGCGGAATCGGGTCGTCGGGTAACAACCAGGCTACCCAACTGGGCGGGATGGACCGGGAAGCGAGGGTGTTAAGGTACAGAGAGAAAAGGAAGAACCGCAAGTTCGAGAAAACCATCCGGTATGCTTCGAGGAAAGCATACGCGGAGACCCGGCCCAGGATCAAGGGGCGGTTCGCAAAACGGGGCGAAACCGAGTCGGAGGTAGACCGGGTGTACAGCCCTGTCAGCACGGGGGGTCTCTTGATGGATTCTCAGTACGGCGTCGTACCGTCGTTCTAAAATCAGTCAATATAATAATAATAATAATAATGAAGGATAGGGAATTGTTTTAGTCTGCGGGAAGGTACGATAATTATGGTGGGATATGGTGGTGTCGGAACCGTGGATGTGGATGCAGAAGAAGAAGAAGAAGAAGAAGGAGAATTGTGGACAAGGGTAAAATGGGAAAAGTAGAGTAACCTAAGAAATTGAAGTTTAGGATCATGTGGGTGTAAACTTTGTTCACCTTTTTATGAGTAGAAAGTTTTTTCCTTTTCCAAGTATGGTCACGGATCTCTTTCCGCCTTCCTATTGGTTCACAGCTCTCTCTCTCTCTCTCTCTCTCTCATATGTTATTTATTCGTTTAAATATTAGCCATTTGGAGACACTTGGCCCAGGTTTCGTTCGCAGGAATTTCCTGAATATTCCCGTCAAGTTACACGTTATGTCAATTTGCTTGCTTTGAGGAATTAAATGTAGGAGCTTGATTGCTGTAATATGCATATTTGGGGGAGTAAATGTTATTCCCTTATGGGCTGATAATGGGTTCAATCCCACGGATATATAACTATAAGTAGCTTCTCTTTTAAATCAATATATATGTGCACATAAATGAAATTCTTAAGGAATTAATGTTGACTTAATCCTAGCTTGATCAAAAATTTAAAAAGGACATTAATTAAGTAGGGTTGATAAAATAAAGGAGATAGGGAGGAAGTAGGCAAAGTTTGAGTACTATTTTGGAATGGAAACTTGTACTCCCTTTAATTTTATAACTCATTTTACTAAACTCACTAATACCAATATAAAAAGGTAAAAAAAATAAAAGTATGTAAAATTTTAAATAAGTTTTTATATAAAAAATTAAAAAATGATATAATATTATTATTTTTCATTCGTAAAGAGTAAATTTAAAAATACATTTTAAATATTATTTAAAAAATTATATCATAAATTTTAAATATAATTAAAAAGATCTTTTAAAATAAGTCATATAAATGAGAATGAAGGAAATATGAACTTAAAGCACCGTTTGAGTTACAGTAATTTTTAACACATGTAAAGAAAAGAAAGTGTAGTTTCACGTTTTTTCTAAGTTTAGCTAGTGTCAAATTGGGTTCCTCGGATATGATTTTCGAGGCAGAGAGCAGAAATTAAGACACCTGGAAAATGTAATTTCCTTGCAAAGTTATTTTTTGAGACTGAAATGCCCCTCGCTTTTTTCAAACAAAATGTTGCACCATCAGTCTATCACTAACTCTAATGTGACTCTGGAATTCCATTCTCATCACCCACAAAAATGACTCTGGCCCTTTATTTTATTTTAAAATGATCTTTGTCATTGATTATAAATTAATTTTTAAATATTTTAAATATTATATTTATGAAAAATAAAAATTATAGAAATCTTTAATATTAAATCTAGGCTGCTCAGTGCTCTTAACATGATGAGCACTATCATATACATCACTTCTGATAGGATCTAGATAATCCAAATTTAAATTTTTATTTTTATTTTATATTTATCAAAATAATAATGCATAAAAAATTAATTTTTTGATAAATCTATTGATAATCAATCTTATTAGTTCAAATTTAATATAGATGATCCGATTGAATATAAATTTTTTTATATCTTTTATAAATTGACTATTTAGATATATTCTGGATAGTCCATATATAATTTAAATTATTCAATTTAATATTAAAATTTTTATAATTTTTATAAATTGACTATCTAGATATATTTTAGACAATCAAGATATAATAATATTTTTTATAATTTTTATTTTCACAAATATAATATTTAAAATATTTAAAAATTAATTTAAAATTAATGACAGAGATCATTTTAAGATAAAATGAAGGATCAGGAGATGAGCGCAGTTAAAATTAATGACAAAGATCATTTTAAAATAAAATAAAAGATCAAGAGATAAGCACGCTTTGCTCATTAGTCTGATATAAACAGAATGGGAATCCTTGTGACTCCTCTTCTTCTCTTTATGTCAATTGAAGCATCATCGTTTTGGTTCGTCATGAATGCGTTCTTTATGTTGATGGGTTTGCCGTAGATAGATTGGCTATACCTTCATCGTCGATGTACTCTTCCTTCTCCCTATGTACATTGTTGGCTTGGTTGATTCTTATATTTGATTTTAGATTGGTTTGGGTTGTAACATCCTCAATTTTAAATCTAGTTAATTAAGTTCAAATAGACTAATTAAGTGTATTAATAATGTGTGTAGCCAGATGGGCTTAACTTAGTATAATTGTTGTGATTTCAGCCTTAAAAGTAGGTTGGGATTTATGACGAGCCACCCGGGCAAGGAAAGAGGAAGAAAAAGTGAAGAGTTGCTGTCTGTGCCACATGCCACAGCACGTGATCAGTTCACCACAACGCATAAAGGAAGATTTGAATCCAATAGGCTCCTCTATGCCATGTGCCGCGGCGGAGGGCAACGTGCATTGTGGCACACAGCCAAAATTATGATATATTAGTTTCGTATCTGTGTGAGAGAAATAGAGAAGAGGAAGAGAAAAACAAAGAGAACAAAAGAGCTGAGCTAGGGTTTGAAGAAACGGACTTATAAGAGTAATTTAGAGCTTATAAACACTAAATGTAAGCTTCCTTATTTAAATCTTTCTTTCTTCTTCTATTCTCTTGATGGTAGAAATTAGGTTTTGATTGATAATGGTAATTTTTTATCCATAGAAGCTATGGGTCTGAACCCATTGACTTAAATAGAGTTAATGGAAGTAGATTGAGCTAAGTAAATTTGGTATTTATAGTTTTATGATGATTGGTGGTTGGAGAACATTAAATGTTTGAAATTCTCATAAATATGGTGGTTAGGAACAATGTTGTTTCATTAATGATGATTTAAAAGCTCAATATTATTAATGAGAGTTAAAGGAAGCTAAGAAGCCTTATGAATACTTTTGTATGAGTCAAGAATACATCTTGAGTATTAAGAAATGATGAAGTATTAATAAAAATTAGCTCAAACATGGATATTAATGTTTTGCATGGTAAATGATTGTAGAGTAACTACCATTAGCACTATTCAAGCTTCTTGGAAGCTTTGAGAGTGAGTAATTGAGAGCTGAAACCTTTGACCTCTCAAAGGTTTGAGGTAACCAGGGGAATTATATCTTATGCTTTTGTGTGTTTATTAATTTATGGATTTATGATTGATCATTGGAGTGTGTAAATTAAAATGAAATACAAGTATGGCTTGATTTGTTAGAAAATTTACTAGATTGAATTGTGAGTTTTATGCCTTGTGATGTGAAATTCTTTGAGGACAATATTGGAAGATTTTAGTATCATGTTTGTTGGGAGTTTACTGACTTTGTGATTTGAGAAGTAATATAAATCTTTGTTTATGAGAAGTTCAATGATGTTTAAAATAGTGAAGTTTAATGATTTTGAAAATGTGAAGTTCTATGAAAGGTATAAAGTGTGAATTATGACATAAATGTGCATTGCATGATCTTGAGAGAGTGGAGTTCTCTTAGGAAGTGGAGTAGATGATAAAATATATGTGATAAGGCCCCAACTGTGTGACGGTTTGCCGGATTGATTATATCTTTACTGTCCCACTTGTTCAATGAGGAATTGTCCCACTAGTTTAATGAGGGACTCAAACCTAGCTAGTTATCCACCGGTTTAATGAGGAGGCTAGTTTAGTGTGTATGACTCTCCATAGTGTGAGAAATGAGAAAAATCGTGTTCCATAAGTGAGTTGGGTACACCTTGATTGGGTAATCCCTCACAAGTATTTAGGTTAGAGAAGTCATATAATATAAACTATCTTATTGAGTTATAGCTTATGATTTCATGTCAGAGGAATAAAGAAGATATAAGAGAGGTGTGATCATGTATATAGTGAGTAAGGGTACCTAATTGTCTATATTGTGTCCCTAATGATAATATCATGAGTTAAGTCTTAATTTCTTTTAATGTATTTGTCAATAAATTTTGTGACCAACTCTATTTATAAGAAAAGTGCAAAAAAGCATTGTTTCTCAAGTAAATGCTATTATGTGAGTGGAATTGTGAATATTTATTTTTAAATATTTTACATGGGTTAAAGTATTGACATTAACTACCACATGCATTTAAACTAATTGATATGCATTAGTATGGGTTAGTCGGACCTTGATTTTTGAGTAGTTGTACTCACCCCATTATCTTTAATATTACAGGGAATAGCTCAAGAGGTGTGGACAGAGGAAAACACCCAGAGGTTTAGGACCGTGATCCGATTGTAGTAGGCCTTTTAAGTATTTATATGTGTATGACAATTTCAACTGTCAATTAGGAATTCTCATTTATTCTTTACTTGCATCATGTGAATTGTAAATTGTAAGTGTATTTCAGGCCTTAGGGAGTGAGTTGATGAATATGTGTTGTTGTGATAGGGCTAAAATACGAATACAAGTAAGAATAGAGTATGTTATGAGATGATTTGAAAAATTTGATGAAAATGGTGGTAAACTCTCCTTTGTATGTTTTTGAGTCTAAAGGGTTGATTAGTGAACATTTGGTCTGGAAGTATTTCATAAGATATGGTACATTGCACAAGTTAGTCTTAATAATTTGTATATGATCAAATTGGTATCAGTGGCTATTGGCCTTTGATATTTGGTTTGGATACTTGATTTTGTAAAAATTATTGTAAAAGTGTAAGTTTTGAAAAGTATGTTCAATTTTTGTTTTAGAAAGAATTTGAGTTTGAGACCAATGCCATTAGTTACAGCTCAGAAAGAGCTTTCTATAAACACCTAGTTTGCGTCAATTGGATGTCGTACAGAGATTTAGGGCAAGTCAAAAGTTTCCCTTATTGTTGTCAAATTAACAGTAGAATTTACTATCAAAATTTGTGCAATTGTGCCACGGCATATGGTGCCACAAGCTGCGGCATGTGTCACAAAGGTGAACATGCCACAGCGCATGTTCAACGAGTCGCAACGTATGTTTCAAAATTTTTCAAAAATTCTCTTATTTTAAATTTTTAAACAAATGTACTCACACAAATAATGGTCTCATACTTCACATATTTGTAAACTCTGGGTTGTTCAATTGGAAGACTTTGAAAATGATTTTAGTTTTGTAAACTTAAGGTTCCCATTTTGCTATCATTAAAAACTTTATATTTTGATAATTACTATAATCCCATTCCCTAATTACTTGGGATTTAACTTTAATTATGGGATTAGAATGAGGAGGATATTACATGGGTTGCCAATGAACAAGTAGAGGTGGGAATCGGGGCA